TGAAGTCCGCGTTGTTAAACCCCCTTCCTGTCCAGGCCATTTTTCAGTATTCAGCGCTGAGGTACTTTGACATTCATGCCGTCATGCAATGCTGTACTGAAATAAACCACTGGGGGTTTTATTTTTTGCTATATTAAGGAAAAATTACCGAAAATGAAAAAAAAACAAAAAACTTTCCCCTATATTAAATTATAAAACATTTATTATTACCCAATTTTTTGGTAAAATATAAGAGACGGGGTCACGTCGGGTAAATAGACACCAAACATGTCAAGCCTTAAAATTGCTCATGTGAAACCTAAATAAACTACAATACCCAAAATTGGCCATAGGCGATGCTTTAAAAGCTTTTACCGCTTATCAGTTTAGTGTTATAAGTGATTGATGGCGTCTGACAGCAACCCGCAAATGTGAATCCGCCGTCCGTCCGTTTTTTCTCAAAGGGCGGACGGCAAGAGGTTAAAAAATGTACCTGTTCCGACTTACATACAAATTCAACATAAGTACAAACCTACAGTCCCTATTTTGTATGTAACCCGGGGGCTGCCTCTACTTTAGAAGCTGCAGCAAGTCATTCTCCCCGCCTGTGTTGGGGACACAGACCGCTGCATTGTCCGCTGCCCCTCGTACCTCCGCTGCTGTCCCGGCCTCTTCTTTCCCCGGTCCGTCAGCTTCTCTTCCCCGTTCTGGCCGATCCTCCGCTCCCCCGTCCGGCCGCGGCTCCTCGGCCCCGCCCCCCTGCCTCCTCTTCATCTGCAGACTGGGAGCCATACCCAGCCTGCTATTGGATATTGTAAAATGCAATAGCAAGCTGGCTATTGCACCCACCCACTGACTGCTGTCAATCAGCATGGGAGGACCTGATAGAGAACTTTCTCCTTCAGGCCCCTCCTCTGCTGGTTGACTGTAGGCAGATGCAATAGCCAGCTTGCTTTTGGCTATTGCAGTTTGAAATATCCAATAGCAGGCTGGCTATTGCTCAAAGCATTAAAATAAAAAAAAGATTTTTTTTTTAAATGAAAAAATTAAATTAAAAAGACAAAAAAATGTACAAAAAAGTAAACAAAAAGTTAAATAAATAAAAATTAAAAATGCAAACAAATAAAAAAAAATAAAGTTCATAAAATTAAAAATAGAAAAAACTTTTTTTGGTGTGTCGTTTTAAATAAAAAAAAATGTCTTAATATATTATAATCTTCTGAACAACAGGAACAGACAGCAAAACAAACATGACCCTTCCCTATGCTATTTTGGCTGGAGTTACACTTAACCACTTGAAGTCCGCGTTGTTAAACCCCCTTCCTGTCCAGGCCATTTTTCAGTATTCAGCGCTGAGGTACTTTGACATTCATTCCGTCATGCAATGCTGTACTGAAATAAACCACTGGGGGTTTTATTTTTTGCTATATTAAGGAAAAATTACCGAAAATGAAAAAAAAACAAAAAACTTTCCCCTATATTAAATTATAAAACATTTATTATTACCCAATTTTTTGGTAAAATATAAGAGACGGGGTCACGTCGGGTAAATAGACACCAAACATGTCAAGCCTTAAAATTGCTCATGTGAAACCTAAATAAACTACAATACCCAAAATTGGCCATAGGCGATGCTTTAAAAGCTTTTACCGCTTATCAGTTTAGTGTTATAAGTGATTGATGGCGTCTGACAGCAACCCGCAAATGTGAATCCGCCGTCCGTCCGTTTTTTCTCAAAGGGCGGACGGCAAGAGGTTAAAAAATGTACCTGTTCCGACTTACATACAAATTCAACATAAGTACAAACCTACAGTCCCTATTTTGTATGTAACCCGGGGGCTGCCTCTACTTTAGAAGCTGCAGCAAGTCAGATAGAGCCTGCTTCATTTCCTGGTTGGAGAATGCCCATCATCCTCTGTTCCTTTCCTCCCTAAACTGAATGTCCCAGGCTCACCACTTTCATGTATGGGATTTCAGTTCTTTCCTTTATCACCCATTTTAGCATTAGTATGAAAGGCACTTTTCTCCTGTAATGTGTATAACCTTTGCCTTTTTGTTTTAGTATCCATACAAGACTCCAGACTGCAGTATTGACTTGCCAGTACCATTTTCCGTCTCATGGACACCACAGGTAAGGATCTTATGTGCTTATATGCATATTTACTTTCATTTTGTTTTGGTTCAGATGTTGCTGGAAGCTCATTCAATGGGGTTGATTTACTAAAAGCAAATAGGCTGTTCCCTTTGCCAGGGAATTTTCCCTTAGCTTAGTGAATGAGCTGAAGCTCTGCCGACTTCCATTATCTAATTATGTGCTTGCAAAAATAAGTTTTTTTATCTTTTTTCCTTGCTTAGGATTGGGAATTCTTTGCAGTGAATTTTAACCACATTAAGAAGCTAAGGGAAAATTCCCCTGCAAATTATCTTGCAAAGTGAACAGAATATTTGCCTTCAGTAAATCAATCCCAATGTTTTGCAGTAAGAGTTAGTAGAGTTCTATTTAATGCTGGAACACAAGAGACCGTACTCAGTAGTGCTTAAACAGCTTTTTCCTCAGACCTATGTTACTTCTCTTACTCCTCCACCACACATCCTCCGTCTGTTGAGTTTCCATTTCTTTTAACCCCTGCTCCTGCAGGGCAGTTAACACTTGGTTGCCCCCTTAACCAGTTGACATCCGCGGTGTTAAACCCCCTTCCCATCCATTTTTCAGTATTCAGCGCTGCGGTACTTTAACTGACATTTATTCCGTCATGCAGCGCTGTACTGAAATGAATTTTATACCCTTTTTTGGGGACAGATAGAGCTTTCTTTTGGTGGTATTTATTCACCACTGGGGGTTTTATTTTTTTTACTATATTAAGGAAAAATTACCGAAATTTAAAAAAAAAAACAGTTTCCCCTATATTAAATGATAAAACATTTATTATTACCCAATTTTTTGGTAAAATATAAAAGATGGGGTCACGTCGGGTAAAAAGACACTAAACATGTCAAGCCTTAAAATTGCGTGCGCG